TGTGTTGGTGTGTTTTGGTGTAATAGATTATTCATGAAATCAGTCATACATTTTTGGGCAGTGTGGAATTCATAAATGAAAAAACAGTCATATACATTTTTGGTAGTATGGAATTCATACATGAAAATAGTGTGGAATTCATACATAAAAAGAGCTATACATTTTTTGGGCAGTGTGGAATTCATACATGAAAATAGTAATACACCTTTTGACAGTGTAGAATTTATACATGAAATCACTGCCACATAAATCAATGGACATTACACTACAACATGAAATTAAGAAACACAATAATACATTTACACACTGCCGTAAGATATAACAACATATATTCATTCTACACTAGCACATTAAATACTCACATATAAAAAACTACACTTCCCACAACACAATTACGAGTGAACAACCACACTGCCCAAAACAATCATATTTTTTGGCAGTGCATAATGAGCATTTGCTATTTAATTAAAGGTCAAAATCGGAATCACATGTACAAAACATATAGCACTGCTATTTAGAGTATTTTAGTGCTCTAAGAGTGCTATTTTGGTTTTTCTCCCTTAGACAAATAATTGAGGAAAATCTAGAATTAAGTCTTTGAATTTCCAAAATCACTTTCAAGACTCCGTATTCAATGTATTCAATGAAAATCTCTGGCGTGTAATCAATAATAATTATTTTTTGAAAAAAAAGATGGTTACAATTATTTTATACAAAAACTAATCTTCGTAAAAAAAACTAATTATCATGGCTTTTTGTATTTCGGTGATGTTTACTTACATAATTTAATTTTGTTAAGGTTTTATTTTTATTTTAATTATATATTTTTAAAGAATTCGACCATAAATAGATTCAAAAGGAAAACAAGCATTAAGCATCACCAACTACAAAATGACTTGATGGAGCACTTGTGAAATCATCGTGCTAGTGGAGATTATAGAAATGGAGAGGAAGGATCAAGGTGTCTGTAACACCGCCACTTTGTGTGATCTGAGTCACCCAGACCGAAGTGCTAGCAAAGACGAGTTTACCTTGAAAGAAAATGTTTTTTTATCTGAAATAGATTCTCATTTTAATAATTAAATATTTCATGATTATTCAGATAAGATTAAAATAAAATCATTATTCGCATTAGCTTAATGATAAAAATTCAACTAAGGTTATTAACCAAGTACATCATTGATAGCTCTATGTATATATGACAAGTTTGTATTTCCTGGTTTGTTATTTTAATGAGCTATACAGCCAACACAAGTTTTATTTTAATTTCTAAATATTACACTTTAAATATATATTTGTAAAACCAAACTCATAGGCCGAAGCTGAACGACGTGTAGCTACACATACATCTTTTTATATCCAACAATAATATTGATTGTATTCTTTAATCATTATAAATTTTTAGTTTTAGCGAAAGTTATTTAAAAAAACATCAATAAAACTATTTTGGGATTATTGTGCTTACATTCCAAAAAGGAAGTGAAATCATTAAAGTTACATAGTTTCTCTGTCCCTAAATATTTATCACACTTGTATTCCCGAAACAAAATATTAAGTTTTTTCAATTCATTATATTTACATATTGGTATAGAAATAAAAAATAAAATTTACATATCAAAAAAATTACATGAAAAGTTCTTCAAAATAAGAGGTGTCAAGAATATTTTTTTTATCAAATAACCAATGAAAACGTAGAAATAAACAAAAGTTCTCGCGACCGTCGAAAAAGCAAGTGTGGCAAATATTTTGAGACAAATGGAGTATAAATCATGGAGTAAAAATTATTTAAACATTGTATATAAACATTGCAACCTACATGGATATCATACTTAAACATTATTATTTTTGTTTACATCATAAAGTCTTCACAGTTTTATTTAGACTACGTAATTAAACTACCTATAGTATACCTTTGATGATTTATTTATAAGAAATATCCATTGTTTTATAAACTGTCGATTTGTTTTTTTTTTCATAACTTACATTTTATACATATTTATTTACACACATAGTTTTTTTAGATAACAATGTGTAGATTCATATTGTAAAATACAATTTAAATGTACACAAACAATATATAAACATGAAATATATATATCTAAAAATTAAGGTCAACGACACACCTTCAATGTCGGTATAGACAAAATAATAACTTGACAAGTCTTGGCGGGATGATTCCGTGATGCATCTCCCACGTCTCTCTTTCTCCCTTCCAGCAACGCCACATCCACTCTTAGGCCCTGTTCCGTTCCACTTATTTTTTCTTATTCTTATTAAAATCAGATTAGATCAGATCAGATCAGAACAAATCAGATCAGATCAGATCCAATCAGACCAGACCAGACCAGATTAGATCATATCCCATAAAGAATTATTATTGTTGTTGTTGTTGTTGTTCTTATTATTATTATTACGGAGTATTATTATTATTATTATTATTATTATTATTATTATTATTATTATTATTATTATTATTATTATTATTATTCTTCTTCTTCTTCTTCTTCTTAAAAATGAAAAAGAATAAACTCTAGAAACAAGTTAAATAGAAAACGAAGAAATTAATCCTTAATTATTAGATGCCGAAAAAATTATTTTTTAAATACATTGACAATGTCAATCTAATTCTACTTTTAAAATACATTTTTATTGGTACCTGTAATTTGAGTTTCTAAAATTTTGATCTTTTATAAAGATGAAATATTTTAATAAAAATACTATCTCTTCTCTATATTGATTTTATATAAATTAAATATTTATTCTTATGTATGTATGAACTAATTATTAAAATATTAAATAAATATTCTTATTTCACAAACAATAATCATAAAATAAAAAATATTATTACATTAAAATATGAATGATTATTCTAATATATAAATTAACTAATTTTATTTTATTAAAAAATAATTATAAAATAAAAAATATTGATTATATTATAATATGAATTATCATTATAATTTTCAAACGTTATTATAAACTCAAATCAAATTATTGATTTGAATTTTAAATCCAATCATAGTTAATCAGATCAGATCCAATCAAATGAGATCAGATTAGATCAGACTAGACCAAATCAAATCAGATCAGTCAGACCAGATCAGATCATATTAGAATTATAAAAAATCAGATCAAATCAGAAAAAATAAATTGAACGGAACAGAGCCTTACTCACTACCTCTCCCTCTACTTAGCTAGCTATATATATTTTTTTCCTAAAATGATTATGTGTTCTCTCTTCCTAAGGGACCCTATTTATAGGGTGGAGAGAGGGTTCTAGAAAGTCATGGGTAGATGGATGGTTGCTAAATAAATAAAATATTTAATTATTTTTATTATTATCAAATTATTAAAAACAACTTATGGCTCCTCTTAATAAAGTGAAATGAATGGGTTACAAGTTTAGGCGTGAGAACCAAGGTAGAAAACTAAAGGTTTTCTTACTCCATGGGTTTAGACTAGGTGTCCGATTTTCACTGTTCCAGTTGTAAAATATTTTTAGAAAAATATAAAACTTATGCTGTTGAATTCCATATTTTTCACACATCATTTTAACATAATTTGGTTATAAAGAAAACAAACTCACTTGAACAAAATAATATTAATCAGATAGCTAAAATCCAAAACCAACTTCTTTCATTCACCACCTCTATTTAGTAATTATTAAAGCTTAAATTCCAATTTATTATTTTAAAAATAAAGAACATTGACATTTTTAGTAACATTTTTACACACTAACTAATATTTTAATTTTTTTTAAAACTTTTTTTAAACAACAATTTCATAATTTATGCTCAAAAGTTAAAAATTTCTAAACTGCTTTTTAGGGCATTACAGTGTCTAAAGGTACATTCCTAGCATTTCTAGTCTCTAGTTCGGTTATCCATGTGGGTGACTCGTGATTCTTTAGTTGTTGATGTTCAAAATAAAAATTTGTTATTGGGAGGTGGAAATTTATTTGCAAGTGGTCAATCAGTTAGTTTTAAAACGATCTGATTGTCCACTTGAGGGAAGTGTTAAGAAGCATCGCCAATCAAAAATTCATAAAATATAGGTATATACAATTCTTGATTTAAACTAAGTAAATGATTAGATTCAATCTTTTAATGTGGTTCAATTTAAACGTCTAATGACCTAGTCTGATGATCCCTATCATATATATCCTAAATTCTATCATGCTATCATAGTAAGTTTTGATCCAACTCGTTTATCGAGGTATCCCTCGATCTAGAAGTTCATTCCCAACGGTATGTGTGTCTTTAGACTAGTTCTCCGTTTGAAAATGGGAAGTGACTCATTTTACATGAATGTTTGTCTATAAGTCTATACCCAGTGACTCGTGAATCGTGATCATATGGGTGTTGTCGTTGCGTTCTAAAATATGATTTAAAGGGGAAAGATTATCATTTACAAGTGGTCAACATGTCAGATTCAAAATGGCCTGAGTGTCAACTTGAGTACCCTGTAGGCCACATCGAAAAATAAAGAAGAAAATAATGGGATTAACGCAATCAGAATGTGAAAGTGCCATTATAGGCTATGAAGCCAATCAGAACACGATGAAGATATGCCGGGCTACGGCAGTGTTAGCCGTTAGAAGTAGAGAAAGGTGCACCCTTTTGGCCGGGTTCACCACAGCGGAATAAGGACGTCTGGGCTTGGAGTTTGCGTCTTGGGTTTGGTCACTTTTGGGTTCTCATTACTTTATGTTCGGTTAGTTTGGGTTTGGGACTGTATGTTTATGATTCAATGTCATTGAATTCGAGTCGACCTAATGTTTTATGACTTTGGTCTTTAAGATTTTTAAATGTATATTAACGTTTGCATTTTGCATTGAATAAATCTAAAATATAAAAAAATATGTATTAAATCTATTAAATTATTTTATTTTAAATGCTAAAGTAATTTTTAGATACATAAATCAATATAAAAAATAAAAATAAGATAATTATGAAATATAAAAAATATGCATATTAAGGAATTGGATGACACTACTGAGTCTCAATCCCAAACCCAAATTAGCCGAACCTAAAGTAATTGAACCCAACCAAACCCAAGAAGCAAACTACGTCCTTATTCCGCTGCTGTGAACCCGGCCAGAAGGGCGCACCTTTCTCTTCTTCTAACGGCTAACACCGCCTTAGCCCGGCATATCTTCGCCGTGTTCTGATTGGCTTCATAGCCTATAATGGCACTTTCATATTCTGATTGCGTTAATCCCATTAAAGTTGCAGCTCGTTGGAATCTCTTATCCCACAGCTCTAGGGTGAGAAACAGTCGCCGCAATGTGCTTTCATGCATCAAAAAGTCAATCCAAGACATAAATCTGCAAACAAAGGTGATATTTCTCACACTAATTTGGCCTGCATAGGTTTGGATTTGTCGTTTAAAATGTACAAGTGCTAATATAACTATACCAATTTTGTCAAATTAGGGAATATTCCACTTGTTTTTGATGGATTCTTATCTTATAAATTTCTTATCTTATTATCCACTTGTCTAACATGTTCATTTCCTATGTTAGATCAAATTATAGGAATTAGGATTTATATTAAGCTTGATGGTTGTTAGCAGGGAACTAGTTTATTTATTTATTTATTTTTCTTTGATGAAACATTAGTTAATTGCCCATTTTACTGAGGAAAATTAAAAGTGGGGGCATATATAATAGTCCGATATCTTGAAACCCTACTTGGAACAATGGACCCTGATACAATATTGAATACTAGAATGCTTTCTCTTTTGCTACGTCGATGGAACTCTCAGTTTTGATGTTATTTTCATGAATATAAAAGTTTGTTAAGGCGCTGTATATTAGCTTTCTACTCCACAGAGTGGAAGTGACATCTGCGTATATCCCTCCCCGAGCTCTAGTCCCGAGATGGATATATTGGGTATGTTTTTTACTTTGCTTAGGTTTGTTTGGTTGGGGAAATATACACGTGTGTACTTGGAATGTCATACTTTTTACTCGTAATTATTTTGCACATTAAGGCAACCTGACAATACCTCTGCTTAATAGGATAAGATATTTGCTGATTTGTCCTGGGAGTCATCATAGTAATTAAGTTAAGAATTACAACGCACACAGAAACTTTCAAATTTGAAATTAATTTTTGTGTGGAGATATGATAGCTCAAGGGATTCAGGAGGATTTAAGTCTTAGATTGGGATTTCAGATTTGGGATTATTCTAAAACATTTCAAACTGATTTGGAATGTTTAAAATGGTGCAAACAGGCATCAAGGCTATTTTCCTTCTGAGAGAGTGAGAGGTGAGTCATAAGCCTTGAAGCGCACATTTTTAGAATGTAAGAGAGTCTTGAGATGCATTCCTTCCAGGCCCCTTTCTCACTTCTTTTGTAAACATTTCGAAGTATTAATTAAACTATTGGCCAGCCTATGGGTGTCCTAAATACTAAAATCCACTCAAGCAGTGATTCTACCTTGCACCTCCACCAATTTTTAAAACCATGCTGCATTGTCAATCGCTAAACACCGCCTTTCTCTCTGTTAATAATTCTGTTTGGCTCGTTGTTGACACCCATGCCCCTATGGAGTTGAGATTATATTGGGTTTTGTTGTTTTTTGCTCGTCACAATAAGATAATAGCAAGTGAACCCCTATTTCTATTTGATGTGCAGGCTGGTCCATTACTAAATAGTATTAAATGGGACGATAAAGGTTTAGCTGTGGCAATAGCTCAAAACATTGACACCGGAGCTATTTTGATGCAAGGTTTTGCCAACCGAGATGCTCTCTTGGAGACCATTTCATCTCAGAAAGCAACATTCTTTAGTCGGTCTCGGTCCAGTTTGTGGACTAAGGGAGAGACCTCCATGAATTTCATCAATGTCTGTGATATCTTTCTTGATTGTGACCGTGATTCAGTAAGTTATATAAATTCTTTGTCGAGACATTAAATTCTCAATTCTGACACTCTCTTCCATCATCATGAGTCATGACAGTAATAACCTTTTTCAGATTATATATCTTGGGAAGCCTGATGGACCGACTTGCCACACGGGTTCAGAGACTTGTTATTACACATCGATGTTAGATCTCTTGAAAAATGAGAAGGTTCTGTCATCTGCATTATCTTGTCAAGTCATAATGCCGTATTCTCTTTATGATTCTGGATATCCTAAAATACTAGATCTTGATTGTGGTAGGTGGAAGCGAATAAGGTGGCTCTCACATCTTTATACTCGTTAGAGTCAACAATCTACCAAAGAAAAGATGAACTAACAGGATTGTCAAATGGAAAACCTTCATGGACAAAGCGATTATTGCTTGATGATAAATTGCTTTGCTCAAAAATCCGGTACTGTGCTGCTTACACTCATGATATCTTTTAAGCAAATTCCAAATAGATTGTTCCCCAAAAAATCTCAACTATTTCAAGCTGTGACTTGTGACCACTATTACCGCGTGGTTCTGAAAGAAACCCACAGAATTTGCACAATTTCATTGATTAGTGAATCCTCTGTTCGCTGTTGTAACCAATGCTGTGTCAAGTGTTGAAGTGGTGTGTCTATTGTCAATACCAGATATGATCTGCAGTGGTTACCCAGGCCTGACTGTCCCTCTCCTACCCAAACAAAAATGCCAGAGTACACTTGAAATCATGCACACATCATACTTCTTATAAAATGCTTGAAGACATTCAAATTACTTGATGTTAACAATACGTCTTTTTAGGGTTAGTGATTTTTGAGAACGATGTGCCATAGTGGTCACAGCTCAACAAGGCCAATAACAAACACTAAAGTTGCTCAAAACGGCCCTTAAAAAGCCATAATTAAGCTAATCCAATTGGATTTGAAAACACTCCTTTTTATGTGAGAACATAGGGGCACGGATTTCAGTCATTATTTTATTTGGAGTGTTGGACACCCAATTCCCAAACCCTACTCTTGAGTTTGAGTGTGAATACTGGGTTTGTTTGATTTTACGTGAACACCCAATTCGTTCTCACGGAGTGCATGCATCATTTGTTGCAGGGAAGAAGCAGATGAGCTGTGCCGGACTATGGAGGAAAATGAAGTTAAATCACGTACTGCATCAGAAGCAGCAGATTTGGTTTATCATACCATGGTTTTACTGGCCAACAGAGGAGTGAAAATTGAGGATGTACTCCAAGTACNAATCAGGGATTGAAGAGAAGGTTAGTCGCCGACAATAGAAGAGGAATTTGACAAAACTACCCCTTTCCCTCTTCCGTTTGAGTATTGCCCCCCCCCCCCCTCCTTCATTCGCCATCCTTTTCCTTCTATAACATAGTATAATTATGTAAGAGTATCTTAACTCAATGTGTGCCTTGTGTGATCAAGCCATCCATGGTAAGATAATAAGCTTTTTTGACATGCACAAATGATTTTGCTCTTCCTTTATTTCCTTTTCTCAATATCATTAAACATGTACAATTATACCTTGTATGTAAAAATGAGGTGAGAATTCGAAGTTCCTAAAATTAATGGTGCAATAATCATAATCTTTCAAGCCGGAAAGTGAATGTTAGAACTCAAATAACTGTGACAAATTGTGGCAGCTTCAATTCCTCTCCATCTTTAAAAAAAAAACCAAAATTACTTGGTGAGGCCAAAACGAGCGGGACATTCCGCAGCCTTGAGCCAAGTATCCCCTTGTAAAAATGGGCCAACGGTGTATTCCATGGCCTCCTCCTTCTTGATCTCTCCCTTGTAACCACCCCAGTTCACCCTGGACTTGACCGAAGCCCCAGGGCCGGAGTTTGCATACTCGGCATAGTACAACGTCTCCAAGGCAAAGTCTCCACTCCAGGGCATCCATCCTTCGGGATGGATGAAATCTCCGATTTCGGACTCCATGACCACCGTCCTTGAATACTCTTTCCACGGGCGGCCGAGATAGCTCTTGGTCTTCGCCTTTTCCGGTTCGAGGGTGTCGTCCGCCAAGATCTTGCAGTTCTGGAGGACTATCCCGGTGGTCTGCCGCCGGTCCGTCCTCCCCTGGGCCGTGACTATGTTTTGCTGGTTCTCCATGGGCTTCCGGGCGTAGATCATGCAGTTCTGGAAGACGGCGGCGGCGTTGCCGAAGATGAAGTCAACGGTGCCGGTGATGTAGCAGCCGCGGTAGAACTGGCGGTGGGCTTGGACGTACAGAGTGTCTTGGTAGGCTTCCATTCTGCAGCTGATGAATATTGCCCGATCTGCTTGAACTCTGAGCGCCACCGCTTGGTGCTTCTCCGGCCCGGCTGTGTTACGGAACCCGATCGATTGTCCTAAGAATCCATCTCCCATTACAGCTGCATACATAGCCCAACCATAACCAAGTTACTACTTATTATAACAACATTCACTGTAAACCACTGATCACGGTCGTCTACAATATGAAACCTTTTAACAAAATTAAATCATACGAAGTACATTTTTCTGATTTTTTATTTTTTAAAAAATTGCATAGTAAAAGGGACGAATGAGTAAAATATTACTTCTTCTTCTTTTTATCTTTTGCTTTACTACTCTGTATTTACAATGTCAAATTTCTTTCTCTAAATCTGTATCATTGGTTGTTTGATTAATAATATTGTAATGTCACACTAGTATTTTGTAGAATTCTTTTATGCAATTTTCAATATATAAATTTTACACTATACATATGTATATAAAGTTAATTGAAAATAAGTCCGGTCAAATATGATATTATAAAAATAGTGATAGAGGTAGTAGGCTATTGGCTACATATTTGTTCGAGTTTTAGCTAAGTATGTGCACTGGAAATTGAGTGATGCTTAGATAGTTCCAAAGTCCACATTTAAAATATAAATTTTCTTACATTTTTCATGAGCTTGCATGTCAATATTTTTTATTCTTGAAAATGCACACTTCTTTTATAATTCAAATACATTAAGTTTCATATAATGACCATATACCTTAAGTCCATGGAAAAATTTGTCCCAGAAATTAGTCTTTTTATCTCCAAAAGATCTTCTCATTTGACCATCAATATATTTTTTAAAAATTTAATATTTTAAAACTATATTTTAAAAGGAAACTATTGATAGTTATATCAAAATACATTGTTTTTTTTCACAAATCGAAATCAAAATTTATAAATTTTGATTAAGAAAAATCCAATGAGAAGATCATTTTCGAATGAAGAGAGTACAATAAGGCTAGACATTGTCATTCCAATTAGGTTAGAGAATTGAGAACATAAGTGTTTGTTTCTTGAATCAAATTAGAAGTAAAATATGAATCTTATACGGAGTAACAAAGAATTAAAAAAAAAATTGCATCAGAAACTGCGTGCTCGTTTGGCAACAGCTTTCAAGATTAGAGTTAGCCTATTGGAAATTTTATTTAACAACAACATTTGATTTTAACATTTTCAAATTATTTTATATTGTTAAATTTTATTCCAAATACTAACATTATTCTAAAACGTTGCTCATAAACAAGGCCTTCGATAAAATGTTTGCTCCATCTAATGATATTTTGAATCCCGATCTAAAATAGCACCAAAATTGGCTCTCAATGAAAACCAATTGCATGTCGTAAGAGTTGAATTGGAATGTTAGTATATGGTTTTGGTTAATATAAATAGACTTTCAGAAATCGAATTGGTCTATCCTTTCCATTACTCATATACATACATACATATATATATATATATATATATATATATATATATATATATATATATATATATATATATATATATATACTTGATTTTTTGTAATGCTCAAATTCTTACTCCCTCCGTCCCAAAAAGTCTTTCCTGTTTCATTTTTTGTGCATCCCTTAAAACATTTATATCCTGCCTTGAATGCCAAAAAGACTTTCAAAATAACTTCTACCCACAATAAAGAAGAAATGTTATACATTTTATGCATTTTAGATGTCGATAGAAGTGTTTTATGCGATACACAAAAAATGAAACAGTAAAGACTTTTTTTGGGACGGAGGGAGTACAATTGACCAAACACTAACTAATCTAGAGTCTACTTAATGTATTACGTAGTACACCTTTATTAATCACATAGAAATAAATTTAAAGTTTATAGAACAATGATATATAATACGTACCAAACGTAGCAGTCTGATATGTTGACACTCCATCTACAAAGTTTTTGCTACCCGTAACGATTGTCTTTTTTGACCCAACTCCATAGATAGTGAGGTTGACCATCTTCTTTGTCACCACCACATTTTCTTCATATATTCCTTCCTTAACAAAAATTACATACCTGCATTGCCACATGGGGTTAGTGTTTTGGTAAAAAAAGGAACATGCTACATGTACCCCCAAAATTTATAATTTATACTCTATTTGTATACCAAAGGTATGCACCTAAATTTTGATGATTCATACTGACATAAACTGTTGGTGCGTTAATAAAAATTTACACTGACACAAAGTGTCAGTGCGTTAACAAAAATTAGGTACAAATATTTGGGGTACAAATAGCTTTACTCAAAAAAAGAAAAATGCTACGTGTACCTCATATTTGTACCAACATTACCCTGACACTAAATATAGGTACAAAACTGATAATATGTCAGTATTACACTTAAATTTAATGTGAGAGTAATGATTTGAAGTACAAAGTAGGATACACTTATGAGATACATGTAGCATCCTCTAAAAAAGTACATGTAGTTAGGCTCTTAGGGAGACCAATGTGCAATGTTCTTTCTGGGAGGGGCCGCTTCGAATAATGTCATTTTCTCAAGGGGTGCAATGCAAAGTATTAAATTAATAAGATTTTCAGATAAGTCTTACCGCCCGTCGTATTTTTGAGGGATGGCGGCTAAAGCAGCATTAATGGTTGTGAAGTTCCCACTGCCATCCTTGGCGACGGTGGCGTTGGGTGGCTGTTTGGGAGCCTCAACCTTGAGGATCCTGCGTTCCTCGTGGTCCATCCATGCCGGAAACTCGCGGTCGTCTTCGTCGGCGAGGAGGTGTCGCTTGAGGTCGAGATCTGGGATCTGGAAGGTGGAGAGCGCGGAGGAGAGCTGGGAGACGATGGCGAGAGCGTTGCTGGCGATCTCCTCGGCGGTCTTGAGGGAGTTCCTGATGGCCGTCTTCTCTTCGCCGTCGGGGAATCCGTCGATGCAGTTGTCCTGAAAGGTAATCACGGCGCTCAAGTAATTGTTCAAGTCGGGGGTTCTAGAAGCTAGGGATTCCAGCCCTGAGTTTCCCACGCCGGACATGGAGCTGTTCAATTCCTCCATCGCGTCGGCGAGGAGCACCTTGCAATCGTCCATCGCAGCTTTCTTATGCGGCGTGTGGAGTTTCAGGCCGCCGGCTTGCTTTATTGCCTTGTCGATTTCCTCCACGGCGATTGCCATGGAAGACCTAAGAAGCTCCTTGGGGTTGTGAGCGGCGGAGGCGTTCTCCTTCACCGCCCTCTTGAGGCTGTCCTCGCAGGTGGCGTTGTAGTCGGTGCCCGCACATATCGTCGCGATGACCTTCTCAGCTTTTCCAATCATGGCCGGTGGTTCAGCTGGGGATTGGGACGGAGGTTCCGACGGCGCTACTGACGGCGTTTCGGATGGTGGCTCGACAATAGCAGCCTTGGACGGTGATGCAGGAGGCTCGCCTTGGTCAACAACAGCAGCTTTGGATGGTGAGGAGGGAGGCTCGCCTTGCCCGACAACAGCAGCCTCTGGCTCCGATTTGGGAGGCGGCTGTGGATGGGGCGGCGAGTATTTTGGCTTGTGAGCCTTGTTTGTCTTAGAGGCATGCTTCTCTTTTTCCTCGTGGGGGGCCTTAAGTACCACGAAATAAGCAAATGCAGCTGCGGCGGCGAGGAGAAGGACGACGACCAACACCAGGGCGGTTATGATTCTCCTCCTCAACTTGGCCTGCTTTTCCTTCTTCCGCCGCTCGGAAATCAGGTCAAAATCTTGAAATGCCATTCTCTTTATTATGAAATGTGAATGAATTGCAAAATTAGTGATTAGAGGTGGAGGCAGAGCTCAACTCTGCCCTGGATTCAGGCCAATCCAAGGCAGAAGAGGTTCCAGGTTCACAGATTTTCCGGTCTCCTCCTCTATGGCTATGTCTTCTTCTATTCGCGTTTCATTATATTAGTTTTGCTTAATTATCGTTTGGGTCGAGTGGAATAGTGAGCCATAATGATTAAATTTCTCAAAGTGATGAGAGGGAAACAAACAACAAGGCTTGGATTGGAGAAGTTTTAGGATACTCTGCCTAATACCCTCCATTCAATTCAATTTGCTTTCTGTTGAAAGGAAGAGGTAATCCATATTTCTGATGTTTTCCCTTTCTTTTTAACCGTTGTTTATCAATGATGCTATATCCCTTGCTAATTATTTCTCATGCGCAAGCAAGTAGGAAAGAGCAAACTATTGAAATTAACACTTTCAAACAATTTTTCTTTTTAAAAAACACCGAGTATTGAAAAGTGAAAGTATTTGATGAAAAATAAAATGTGTGGTTGAGATTTAGAGGAGTTAAATTATAAGTCTCATACTGCACGCAAATTAACAAAATAAGTCTCATATTCATTTTCTTAAAAAGAAAATAGAAGAGTGTAAATTTAATTTTGGAATGAAGTTTTTGAATGTGAAATTATCATTCCTTATAATAATTGTTAAAAATATTTGTTTTATTTATTTCTCTTATGTAGAGGAACTAGTGCTAATCCCATGATTCACAGGATCTCATATACATTCTAAAATTTGTAATGTTCTCTTAAAATTATATTTTGAATGATATAATTTTATTTATTGCATAATAACCACACATTTAGAGCCTGTTCTTTAGGGCTTGAATTCTTAACTTTCAGTTTCTTCCAGTTCTTTCCAGTTTCTACAAACTATTCTGATTTTCTTCAAACTCTTTCTACTCCCTAACCAATTACTCAAAAAACGATATATTTTTAATGTGATTATTATTATTATTATTATTATTACAACTGTTATGTTCATAACTATAGTTTATAAATTATTCTTTTCATCTCACTATTTTTACGATTCGCACTCATTATTTTTTATTCAACTTTTTAATATGAATAAGACAATTTTTTGTATATTAATCTACATGATAAAACACGAAAACATCAATATGTTCATAACTATATTTTTTTCTTCCATAGAATGTTTTATTAATTTAACTTTATATAAGACATCTCACCTTTCCCTTTATTACTTAAAATTTTCTTATTTTTCTAATTTTTATAAAAAAATTGTAAGTCAAAATAGTTTGGAAAAAAGACTAAAATAGAAGTAAAACATAAAAAAATGTAAAAAAAAGTTCTATGTCTTTATTCCAAAAGTAGGACTTCAATGAAAATAAAATGTCAATCAAGAAAGAAAAAATAGGTTTGATTACATTATGTGACATGTATGACATTTAAAACAAAATCTTGTAATATATAAAGTATAATTATAAATATATTATTTATAATAAATACTGCTTAAATAAATTGAGGTGCAACGTAACCAAAAAAACTTTTTAAAATTTAATTTTTTATATTTATGCTAACTTTATATTATAATTATTTTTTTGTGAAACTATTTTTTTGTATTTGAAAAATAACAATATTTTTTTTGTATTTGAAAAATAACAATATGTTTTTTGTATTTTAAAGACATTCATTAAGATAACGTGATGATGATGATGATGATGATAATAATATAATAATAATAATAATAATAATAATAAAAATAATAAAAATAAAAATAAAAATAATAATAATAATAGGAAGCGTCTAAAATGACACCAGTTATTTATACACCAGTTGCTTACACCAATTCGTTTGGGGTACTTACGGTGTTCCGTTTGCAAAAACGACGGTTCCTACCCCCCCTAACCCTCCCCCTAAACCCCCCACCCCAGCCCCACCCTTGCCCCCCCACCCCAGTCCCCCCTCCCTACCCTGGCAGTACACTGCCAGCCAGGGAAGGGAGGGGGGCGGGAGGGGGGGCTGGGGTGGGGGGGCAAGGGTGGGGTTGGGGTGGGGGGGTTTAGGGGGGATGGTTAGGGGGTAGGAACCGTCGTTTTTACAAACGGAGCACCGTAGGTACCCCAAACGAACTGGTGTAAACAAATGACACCAATAGCACTGGTGTCATTTTAGACTTACCGATAATAATAATAATTTATAACAACAAGAAATTAAAGTAATTTTTTTAAAAGTTTTTTTAGGTTTTTCAATTTTTTGAAGTTTTTCCAGTTACTTCTAATTTTTTCCAGTTTCTTCCAGTCCTTCTAGTTTTTTTCAGTTTTCTTCCAGTTTCTTCCAGTTTTTTCTAGTTTCTTCCAACATCCATATCTTTTTTCCCGTCCTAAAGAAAAGGTTCTTAGAGGGGAGCTTAGGGCAGGGTTTAGGTGGGGGTGGGGCTAGGGTGGGGGCGTTTAGGGGTGAGTTAGTGGAGTATGAACCATATGGGCTATTATCATGGGAAAAGTTCTATTATCATGCCATGTCAAGATTAAAACTGATGTTGATGCTAACATAGTCTTAGATAAAGTCATTGACTACATTAGGAGAGAGTATAATATTAGCCATGTAACCATTCAGATAGAAAGAGCGTAGATACAGTTCAAATGACTTGTTTTCATTTTTCATATTGTGTGTAATGTTTGTTGTTGCTTGTATCGGCAACAAACTTTGAATGATATATTAATGGAGCATTGTTTTATTATCAAGGAACACTTCATTTATTTACCATTTTATGTGTAATCAAATCACTCACCACTTCTTCCATAGACATGGAGTATCTTTCAAATTTGACTAAATCAGTGTTCTAAAAAGAATTTGTTGAACAACGTGATAGCTTTGTTTGAGCTAGTCTTCTAAAATGGCAATCTTCCAATTTGCAAGTGCTTATGCAAAGATAGGCAACCCTTGAAGCCAAGTCAAATTGTTGGCGACAGAAGAAGGAAGCCGGGTCAAAGAAGGAAACTGAATCTCTTTGGGATTCGGTTTAGTATCTTTCCTAGTTTGCTTAGTTCTTGTTATAGTAGGAATAGAAATATGGTAGGAATAAAAGTTTACTTATATGTTTTACTCTCTTCCTATATAAAGAGGGTTTGATCTTTGTAATCACAAGCCAATTCAATATACAAACTATATTCTCTCTTATTAATTTCTGCATAGTATCGGAGCAAGTTTTGAATTCTTGAGACCTCAAACACGCTTCTTCTCCTGCCGGTGGGCATACACAATTCAATGCCTACCGGCAGGATATTGTAAGTTTTGATTTTCTTTGGTTGTTCTTCCTCACTAAAGAATATCATGAACTCCTTCAACGAAAAACATTGCTGTCGAGGAATCCTGCCCAACCATCAATCTTGAAGAAGTTGTCCGAGAAGGGTTGTTCTACGGAGACAGACAACTCTTTCCTTAGCAGGCAATAAAAAAAAGTCGGCGTTCAGGGTGTTCGAAAAGAATGGCGTTCCCCCTGTTTGTTTGAATTCGGTGAAGGTTCGAAAAGAATGGCGTTCCTTTACTCGACTGATTATTCGGCAGATTCGAAAAGCTTGGCGTCTCCGTTGAAGAAAAAATTGAAGTGTCTAGATGACACTTGGATAATGATGGTAGCGGCTTCCTCAAGCTTTGTTGCTTTGTTCAATCTTTTGATGTCCAAGCTGGGCATGTTGAACTCTCATGCTCCAGCTTGAGGGGGGTGTTGGCGACAGAAGAAGGAAGCCGGATCAAAGAAGGAAACTGAATCCCTTTGGGATTCGGTTTAGTATCTTTTCTAGTTTGCTTAGTTCTTGTTATAGTAGGAATAGAAATATGGTAGGAATAAAAGTTTACTTATATGCTTTACTCTCTTCCTATATAAAGAGGGTTTGACCTTTGTAATCACAAGCCAATTCAATATACAAACTATATTCTCTCTTATTAATTTCTACACAAATCAGAGAATATATATGAAATATTTGCACTAAATAGCAGTAAGACTTAAGTCATTTCTCTAAATAGCACTTAGATTGTTTTCTTCCCTAAATAGCACTTTATAATGTCCATAATGACCAGTGATGGCAAATATTTTACTTGAATAATGACTAATGGATAATGACTAAAAGTGCTACATTGAGAAAAAAATATATGCAGTGCTATTTAGGAAAAGTCATTATGTTTTAGTGCTATTTAGGTAAATTCCCCAATATATATTCCCTACGATAAGATAACCAAAATGAAATGAGCATGATTAACATCTAATAGGTATGACGTTATGTGATAGAGGTTACCTCTTCACGCGTTTCAGAGATAATTAGCTATTGTTATCTTGAATGCCTTAATTCTTGAAAAACAAAATTAATTTGGTGTGGTTCACAATGTTTCCCTCAATTTTAAATTAGTCCAAAGTGCCCTATTTACATGATCTTAATACATGTGTGCACATACAAATGGAGAAACATTAGTTAGATAGCGGGTGGTAAGGGTGGGGTGGGGGGGACTAAAGAGACAGCTCTCTTTCCGAAAGAGAAATTCCCTTCGTTAGCCTAATAGCCAGCTAAATGACCTCATTATATTCATCTTAGCTTTTAGCATCGTATTTTAGTGAGAAACACGATACCAAGTGACAAATGACAATTCAATCACATTCCAGTTTGAACTAATGTAAGAATACGTATAGGTACATATCATTTATATTGACAAATTTCGTTTAAATACATAAAAATACATCATTAAAGATCATTTCTTAATACAATATATTTTCTGGAATCAAGTAAATATATTTCTAACATGATTTTTAATCAATGAACAACAAAGACTAAGAAGAATAAATAATATTTGGGGAATTGAAAGTATACTCGATTTTTTTAATTCCAATTTTTTGAAAAACGTCAGGGTACACAACATTTTTTGTATGATTTAATGGTTTCCATTGTCATTTAGAACCAATATTTTTAATCATGTCTTTATCTTCGCCCGTGAAACAGTAACATAAAGCTGATAATGAGTAAATACTGAATTGATTAAAAATTACTCCCTCCGTCCACAAATAAACTTGACCTTTGAATAGTGAACGGGAAGTTTATTTGTGGACGAAGGAAGTATACAACAAAAGACAATGTTTGACTTTGACTTTTGTTAATAGTTATAGTAAAATATAAGACTATTACGAATTATCTTCTCTAGAATTTCAGGGGTAGTCCGGAATCACATGGTACCAAATTCATATAAGGCATGTAAATTAAACCTTTTTCCCGACCCGATTTCTCAAAACCTCAATTGCACTAATAATGTTCTTTCACAGCTCTTCAACGATTAATCTTCTACCATTACACAATCAAGGTATTTGGTCAATGTTCTTCAAACCCATAATCAATATCCCTTTTTAAAAACTATTTTGTGGTTTAAGATCCCCAGACATTTGATTTTATTAAAAAACTCTACTGTTATCTAATCATTTTCAACATCTACATCAGAATCTGCTTGGCATGAAAAATCAAAACTTAAGTACTTCTTTTCACCTCCTAGAATAAGAAATATGACAAATTCATTTACCATTCAACAAATTCAAACATGGGTGCCAATTGTGCACAGTCCTCAAAAAAAGAATAACTTTTCATGTTCTCTAATAGGTTTGAATAAGTGAAGTCCACTATACTCTTAAGGGGATAACTTGGGTCAAGAATCAAGAATTTGAGTGGGATTTCAATGTCAGCGATTCCACCGATCTTTTGTCCAAGTTTTCCATCATCGACTTTGATTATCCAATCAGAAAAAGCTTGTGTGTCCCTATTTGTGCAAGAGGGTGTAGATAAATACAATCTCATATTCTTGGTCAACGTATACACTTTACAATACAGCAACCATATTTGTGAGGAATTGGTGGTAACACCTATAATTTCTTCTATCAAAGCTATGAGTAAAACTGAAAATAAAATCACCTCTGAGTACAACTTTTTTTCTCCGAATGGTTAATTTATAAAGTTATTATTAGAGAACCTCATTTCTGTTAGAATGCATGAGTTCAACCCTTTCTGTATTGTTAAGTGTTGACTCACATGTTTTGATAATTGACAAACATAATTTATTCAAGTCAAGATAAAAGTGCTACAATAACAAACACGAAGACTTGAAGCGCAAATTACTTGAAGTATTCAAGAAAGTGCACAGGATTTTATTGGAGTTCGAGACGCGTTTGGAGCACCTAACAGAGAACTCGGAGGGGTAGAAGATTTCCAAAGACCTTTTATTTATAGAAATCACCTTAACTAGGACTAAAACATAGAGGAAAGTACCAAAATAGGACTTTCATGCATGTTTTTTTCCCGGAATAGGATTTTGTACTGTGGTAATGTGATTTTGCATTGTGGTAATGTGGCAGTGTACATGTGCAAATTACTATACTTTTTCGGTAATGTATATGACCATGTTTGGTAATGTAAGTCATATTTTGGGAATAAAAACATGGAAGTCCTATTTTGGAATATTTTCAATGTTTTAGTCCTACTTTGGTCTTTCTCCCTTTTATTTATTTGAGTCTTAGGAATATTTGTAAGGATGACAAAATTTATTTTCTCTCCAAAATTATTTTTATGGGAGTTAATATAAAAATTATATATTTTTTGGAGTCAATTGAAAATTCTTTTTAACTATTCAAAGTATTTTTATTGAGTCAGTTTCAAAAGGTGTGTCAAACATTCATCAAAATATTTATTTTGATATTAGAAATTATTTTTGAAAAGCAAAAATATTTTATTCAAATATTTTCATGTTCATCGTTTGACACACAAAATATTTTTGGGACTCATTTACAACACCAAAAATACACTCTCATAATTCAAGTTTGAATTTGAATTATATTTGATGATTGTGGAGCCCATTAGTATGATTTTAGTGTCCAAAACAAGTGCTAAATGCCAAATAAGCACTTCACCCTGCACACATGATTGCGTCCTTCATGTTTCAGCATTATTGTTTGAAAAATCTATTTTTACACTTTAGCAAAAATTGATTATCATTTCGTCTGCTGAAGGAATTTTGCTCACAAGCAAAAAATCGATTATTGTACCCTAAAAATCAATTTTTTGTGTTAAAAATTCATCAAATTCTTTTTTCTAAACTCCAACGGACATATTCCTTCAACTCCTTTATAAACTTCATTCCTTGATCATTTTTAACGTGAACAAGCACTCCTAAACTCTAAACACTAGAATTTATTTTAAAAGCAATAGCGTATGTATCAAGGGTGGTTTGTGATTTCAAATAGGAGCATGCTACATCTACCCTATATTTGTATCCCCAAAGCATTACCGTGACACTAAATGTAGGTGCAACACTGACATAATATCATGTTTGCACCTACATTTAATGTCAGGGTAATGCTTTGAGGTACAAATATGGGGTACATGTAGCATTTTTCTTTCAAATAATTTCAAATTTTGCTTGACTAAGTATCTCCTACCCCTAGCTCGCTAATTAACAAAGGAAATAGCAGGGAGTAATTCTTAAAAAATAAAGGGGTAAAAAATAAAGGGGTATAGAAGCAGTACTTGGGGTATGCTACTGCCGAGTCCCATGCCTTCAAAAAACTGAGGGCAACCAACGAACACTTTATTGCTTTGGGATTTTTAGATTCGATGCACCCAAAGAGATTCCAAGGATCATCTAGTGGACCATTATATATTCCCAGTCCCAAAAAGTACATTTAGACACAAATTAAATCAACTTTAATAATTCATCAAAAAGAATTAAATCAACTTTATAATATTTATTGGATTAAATTGCAAAGGTTCCATGTTTTTATTCTCGAAATAGAACTTACATTACCAAACATGGTCATATACATTACCAAAAAAGTATAGTAATGTGCACATGTACACTGCCACATTACCACAATGCTAAGTCATATTTCGAGAAAAAAATATGAAAGTCCTATTTTGGTACTTTTTCTCTATGTTTTAGTCCAAGCTATGACAGGGTTTTGAATAAGCTCGTCGGTTTCGAATCCATTGGTATATATATACATGGCCGTGAGTGTGGATGTGGACAGCTGCTAAGTCCACCACACCCGCGGTCTCAACTGTGATCCTCTCTCCGTCGTCGTCATTGGATCTTCTCCTCAAGAAATAGGAAGTGGCAAAAGATTCTGCCAAAAGAGATCCTATTGAGAAAAGCATAACGATAAACAAAGATAACGGAAACTCGCCCCAATTCAAGGTTTATTATCCCCAAGGCACGTGGACATAAACTTGCTTTGAGCATCCGGAAGGGTACGTGTAAAGCGTGTCGCCAAAACAGCACCTCCGAAGAATGCCTTGCCTCCTTCAAAGAGGCTCCCATCTAGACGCATAAGAAAATACCTCCTCCCCAATTTATTAGGGACGAGGGAGACACTCACGCCCTCACCAACAAATATTGAAATCGTTCCGATTATCTTCTTGTATATAAGTTGGCGTTTGGTGCGAGGCGAGGCTTCCTTTTGGGAGTCAGGGTCGTCGGTGCAACGATACATAACAACACTTGGAAAAATGATGAGGAAAAAATAATTTTTTCAAGAGTGAAACTCTTTGAAGTCGACATAATTTGATTGCATTCTCTTTTTTTAAATTTTTTTTTTGGAGTTCTTGGCATAAGGAAGCTAACAGGAGAGATTGAATGATGTTGGTGAATCTAGGTTGATCTCTATTTATAAGGATGGCTCCATCCCAAAATCTTTCCATCATCTTTCCATGCTAAAACGTCTTTTGCATGTCTCCCTGAAAATCCGCTCAATTCAGAACGTGTGTGGCCTAACCTATAATAATAATCATAATAATAATCATAATAATAATAATAATAATCATCATAATCATAATCATAATCATAATAGTAATAATAATCATAATAATAATGTTAGACAAAAGTACAACTCTAGAAGGAGGTGAATAGTGTTGTTTAATAGAATGTGTGATAAAGAAAGAAAATCGCAGGAAATAATAAAGAGCAAGGGAAAGGAGTACACCGTGATTTATACTGGTTTACCACCACTTGGCTAGTCCAGTCCTCCGAGAGACTCTCTCAAAAGTTCTACTAAACTTCAAGCTTCAACGAGAGCTTGAAAAACCGATACAACTCGAGAACTTGAATCACACAAACCTCAACTTCTTACTACACGACTTGAGTCACACAAGTCTTAACAACAACAAGACTTGAATCACACAAGTCTTAGCAACACTCAAAATAGATTCATTTGACAATTCACTTGACATATGTGAAAAAATGTAACTATATTTCTCTTCTTACTTTTTCGATAATAGATTCACTTGACAATTCAAGCAAAACTCAGCTGTAAAATAAATGTGATTGTTATAATGTTTACAAAATAAGTTTTTGTGAAATATATCAATGTATTTTTTATGAAATAATTTGATATTTTATGAATTGAAATATAAAGATTTTTAATAGTTTTTTACAAATATATTTTAAGAAATCTCATGGGTTAAACGTTTTATTCAAAAAATGAACTCGAGGGTTAACAAATGGAGTTACTAAGGCCCGTTCCGTTCAACTTATTTTTTCTTATACTTATTAAAATCAGATCAAATCAGATCAGATCGAATTAGATTAGATGAGATCAGAACTAATCAGATCAGACCATATCAGATTAGATGCCATTAAGAATTATTATTATTATTTTTGTTGTTGTTGTTGTTGTTGTTATGGTTATATTTATTGATATTATTATTATTATTATAGTACGGAGTATTTTTTTCTTCAAAAAACTATAGCAGCACTTTGTGCATAAGACATATATTCCGTAAACAACTTAAATTGGGTCTACTCATATTTTGATTAAAATTGCCATGTTATTAAAGTCGTTAATAGATGACCAGTGATTTGTTAAAATATTGTCACGTAGACTCGCCACTTGTCGAAATTCAATAGTTTAACTCTCAAATTTAATATACAAAGATAAAGGATGAAGGATGATGTGGATTTAGCCAAAATAGAGGTAGATTCACATGATATTTTATAATTGAAATTTTTTCAACGCTTGTCCTCCGACAATAGGGGTGATTTTGAGGAACATTTTTTTTAAAGATGATAACAAAGAAATAAATCTCAATTACAAAATATCAAGTAGGTAATTATTGTTTATTGAAAATTAATTGGAAAAACACATATAATTCCGGGAATTCACTCTTATGTTTACTTTCCTAACATTTTTCAAATTCGTCTAATTTTTTCAACTTTTTTCATATTCTTTCAATTTCTTGTAACTTGTTCTATTTATTTTCATTTTTTCTAATGACTCCTTCCAATTTTTTCGCGTTTCAATTTCTTCCATCATAGAGGTCTCTAATCCAATCCAAAAGAGTAGACTCTCCTTGTTTGATTTCTTTAATTTCAGTCACAATATATACCGTACAATCAGTTCTACAATATTTTCGTACATCCGCAACGAGTACCTAAATACTCATTCTTGAATAAACGGATACGTTTTTCGAGTAATTATATACTCATTTATATAAAATTCAGTTATGTTCGAAAATAAGTATTCAATTATTCGAAAATATTGCACATCCAAATGTATAGCATAGCTACGTAATTTCAATTTATTCAAATTAAATTCCTTGGGTCCATTAAAATAGGATTCATTCCCTTCAAATTAATCGGATTCATTACATATTTACATCCCAATCCAGTCTCTCAAAAAAGAGAAAAAGTCAGTAACCCGAAATATACCCGAATTGCTTCAGAAGCTTGTCTAGGACGCATTCAACCCTCTCTATTGTCTTGTTCTTCTGCATTTGGGTATTTGGCGCCTCGGACAATTTTCAATTCTGACGAATCCACCATTTCCAAATCACATTGCGACTGCAAAAGAAACCCACCGTTCTTGCGACTTCGAGCAAGAATGGAGCAGCAGCACAGGAACCAGCAGAAAGATGTGCAAGAAAGACGACAAGATGATCTTGAGGAAATCCAACACGGCCCTTTCCCGGTGGAGCAACTCCAGGTTTACGCCATTCTCTCACTCTTCTTCTCTCTTCGAAAATAAAAAAGATAAAATTCTTGTTTCGAATTTTCAAGATTCTTATATTTCTTGGGCTTGGTTCAATTGGGGATGCGGTACCTTTCTTTCTTCTTCTGAATTTGGCAATTTCTAGGTTTCCGCCCAATTTCCAGTAATGGGTACCTTGCTTCAAACCTATTATATCTTTTGAGATGGTGAAATTCATGGTTTCCAGTTTTAGGGTTTTGGTTATTTTGCTCGCCTTTACTTTGATTTTAGATATAATCTTTTCCATCTGACAAGAGTTAATGTCTTTTAAATCCTTTCGAAAGTGAGTTTCAGATCATGTTTTCATTTCCAGGAATCTGGAATAGCAGCCCTTGACATTAAGAAACTTAAGGATTCTGGTCTATATACTGTGGAATCCGTCATGTACGCTCCTAGAAAGGATCTTGTGCAAATAAAAGGGATCAGTGAAGCTAAAGTTGACAAAATTATAGAAGCAGGTTTGTCCTTTTCAGTTCTGACCACGTCCTGTTTCACTCCCTGCTGCAACTATGCATATCAGTAGACTAATCTTACTAACACCAACCGACAGCTTCAAAATTGGTGCCCTTGGGGTTCACTAGTGCAAGCCAACTCCATGTGCAGAGGCTTGAAATCATTCAAATAACATCTGGATCAAAAGAACTTGACAAGGTCTTGGAAGGTAGGGTTTAATTTCTGGACGGCTTATTGCAATTTAAAGATTGATGGGTTTGTTATGTTACATACAAGCTCTGATTATTGGGACTGGCAGGGGGTATTGAAACTGGATCCATAACTGAAATTTATGGCGAGTTCCGCTCTGGGAAGACTCAGCTTTGCCATACATTATGTGTTGCTTGCCAAGTAAGATTGAGTGTCTAATTAAATTTTAAATAAATGCAGGAATTATGAAAATCTTGATTACTTGCTGTCAAAATCAAATGTGTATTGTTTTCAAACAATGTTGATTTGTCATTATCATCCACCCCCTTTAATCCTTGGGGTTGGGGTGGCATGAGTTTCATAATGTCATTTAATTGTCTAAACTTATTTAGCACTAAAACTATATTCGTGTGAATGTCATTTTTCTCTTTTTATTGTTCAGCTTCCATTAGATCAAGGGGGTGGTGAAGGGAAGGCCATGTATATTGATGCCGAGGGAACTTTCAGACCACAAAGACTTTTGCAGATTGCAGACAGGTCTTTTGTCATTGCATCTTAGTTGTTTCTAGTGTAATTTTGCTATTGAAAATTTGAACCTCTTCTTGAATTCTTATTTGTTCATTTTACATGCATGCTACAGGTTTGGATTGAATGGAGCCGATGTTCTAGAGAATGTAGCGTATGCTAGAGCATATAACACTGACCATCAGTCAAGGCTTTTGATTGAGGCCGCCTCGATGATGGTTGAGACCAGGTACCTACATCCAGGCCTGGAGGTTAAAGATCTTTTAGATACATATAGGGTTATGTAGAGTTTCTTGGCAGTTTAAAATGTGAAAACGATCGTGTGACTCATGTCAAAACCACATGACTGTGATAAAGATTAACTTTTTTGACCTTTTCATTTTGACAGGTTTGCTCTTATGATTGTGGATAGTGCTACAGCACTCTATAGGACTGATTTTTCTGGGCGGGGAGAGTTGTCTGCCAGGCAAATGCATCTAGCTAAGTTCCTAAGAAGCCTTCAGAAATTAGCAGATGAGGTGTCTGTCTAATTTTACATACTTTGTACTCCGTATCATTTTATCTGTAATCAATTAAGCAAACTTTTAGCTTTCATTTGGAATACTTAGCAGAGTTTTTATCCAACTAATAACTTTATGAATGTGGGATTGTGCAGTTTGGTGTTGCAGTTGTGATTACTAACCAAGTGGTTTCTCAAGTTGACGGTTCTGCCATGTTTGCCGGACCTCAGATCAAACCCATTGGTGGCAACATTATGGCACATGCTTCGACAACAAGGTGAATTATATTAACCCGTTTTTTAACTCTGAATGTTCTATGGATGAAGCACATGCTTCGACCAAGTGACATTTTTTTTTCTCTTTTAACTCTGAATGTGCTATGGATGAAGGACAGGCTGTCTCTTCGCAAGGGAAGGGGAGACGAGCGCATTTGTAAAGTGGTAAGCTCTCCATGTTTAGCCGAAGCTGAAGCAAGATTTCAAATTTCTGCAGAAGGTGTAACAGATGTGAAGGACTGACAGACTGCTGATTGTTGTTTTTGTTGTGTTGTAGAAATTGTCTCTCTTATATTTTCTATTTTGAGCTCTAGAAAAACTCTTTCCATCTTAAACTTGTTGAGCTTGTTTGGATATACGTTAACATGCCCGAATCGGGAAGGCTGGGTCGACCTAAATACCGGCAATTTTGTTAGAACATCCACTCTCATATGCACAGCCAACTTGCACCCAAATATGGAGTACATACATTACACCTATTGTACAAACAATCAAACAACCAAAAACAACTAAATCACATCACATCAAACACATCCAAATTACATTTCTTTACACAATAAGAATTCACATCTGTTCAAACTATTAAAGCTCTAATACATTGAATGCTATTAGACAAGGCGTGCAACTCTAGAGGGGGGATGAATAGAGTTGTTGAGAATTATTACCGATTTTCGCAGGATTAATAATATAAACGAAAGTGCAGCGGAAATAGAAGAGCGAAGGCAAAGAACACACTGATGTATACTGGTTCACCACCTTGTGGCTAGTCCAGTTCCCCGAGAGACTCTCTCGAAGCTACCACTACTTCCGTTAAGCTTACGGGTGCTTAGCAAACCGTTTACAACTCGAGAACTTGAATCCCACAAGTCTCGACACAACCGCTCGTAGATATGCCCTCTACAAGACTTCACAACCAAGACTTAAATCACATAAGTCTTGTACAACAAGAAGAGCAATCTTCTTCAACCTCTCAACATAAACTCTCACAAGAGTAGGAATGAGAAATGATTAAAGCTCTAATAGATGACAAAACACTCTCTTGAAAACACTTAGTTTTCTCTCAAAATATATCAATTTGAGGAAGAATTGAATGGAGGATTATAACCTCAAGATTGGGGAGTTTTGGAGTGTTTGTTCATGGAAAAAATGACCAAGGAAAGAAGTTTATAAAGGGGTTGAAGGAATATGTTTGTTGGAGCTTAGATAAAAGGTGATGTGAGAACACCTTTTTTAACTCTCAACAACAACAAAAATAGAAGCTGCACGAGACAGCAGCAGCACTCCGAGATAATATGTAACCAAAAAAGATGACAGTGTGAACATAAAAAAGGGCAAGAGGAATCTCACTATTGTGGAGAGAAAACTAAGGGGGTGTTTGTCTTTTCTGCAGGAAAAGGTCTACGGTCTGCGGACCACTACTGTAGACATCTGCAGGAGAAGTGGTGGACCGAAGGTCTGCGGTCTGCAAGAAGAAGACTGTTTGTTTTTTAATGTCTGTAGACTGCTATATAAATTAATGGTGGTAGTGTATGGTGGTGGTGTATGGACGATTGTGGTGGTGGTGGAGGGTGGTGGTGGACGTTGACGGAG